AACTTTGGTTGAACAGAACCAGAACCATCAGAACCACCATGACTTTGTTTAATCAGAACCAGAACCAGAGAACCATCAGAACTTTGTTTAATCAGAACCAGAGAACCATCAGAACTTTGGGTGAACAGAACCAGGACCGTGGCCTGGTTCTGTTCAGCCCAGAACCGGGTCTCGGTCCACCGGAAACGGGCGGTGGGACCGGAAGTGGGGACACACCTGCGGCTTTTAGGGCGCTGCCGGCTCACACGCGCACGTGCACGCTCCCAGCTGGCGGGGCACCACTTCCACCCTCTCCCACCGGGCCCAGAACCGGAACCAGAACCGGGACAGAACCGGTACCGAGCCCCCCAGAACCCAGCTGTTACCTGGAGGGGGCGTGGCCTGGGAACACCTCCGCCAGGAGCAGGGAGTAGGCTCCTCCGTCTCCTGCTCCTCACGCGCGCTCCCGCACGGTTCACGCGCGCTCCCTCACGGTCCCACGCGCCTCCCGGGTCTCCCGCGCGCCTCTTCTGTCTCCTCCTGCTCCTCAGGCCGGTTCTCCTCAGTCTGGGATTCTCCGAGCGTCACTGAACGCCACTTCCGGGTCCGTGTGCCTCACAATGGGGGGGGGGGGGGGAGCAGGAAGCCCGGCTCCCCCTCCCGCTTCCCGTCCCGCTTCCCGCCCGGATTCCCTCTGACGTGACGTCAGAGCCGTGACGTCACGGGGGATTTGTTTGTTTAGAGCAGTGTTTTTCAACCCCTGTGCCTCGGTACACATTTTTTGCTGAACACTTAGTCCTTGTTGAACAAAATCATAATTATTTAACAAGGCAGGCACGAGGTAGAGACTTTAAACTCCCTCCACCCAGAACCAACTATCTAAAATCCACAGTACGTTATAGATTATTATTATGTCCCAATAACCAATAACCACACCAAGAGTTCAGAACAGAACAAGCTTAAATAATATTCTGTCTTCAGAACTACTGCAGATGATAACATGAACTGACCTGTGTGTATATGTTGTATAGTCTACTCTTGTTTATGTTTTTATTATTTCCTACTGTGATTTTTATTTTAATTTTTTATGATCTGTTTATACTGTAATATAATTTCTTCATGTGAGGACCCCAGGAAGACTAGCGGCCATTTATTTGGCAGCTAATGGGGATC